TCTTCTTCTTCTTCTTCTTCTTCTTCTTCTTCTTCTTCTTCTTCTTCTTCTTCTTCTTCTTCTTCTTCTTCTTCTTCTTCTTCCTCTTCTTCTTCTTCTTCTTCTTCTTCTTCTTCTTCTTCTTCTTCTTCTTCTTCTTCTTCTTCTTCTTCTTCTTCTTCTTCTTCTTCTTCTTCCTCTTCTTCTTCTTCTTCTTCTTCTTCTTCTTGACATCCGAGAAACGCTGCATCTTCATTCGTCCGCGCTATTGTAGCTCTGCCACCACACTCACACCTCTACACACCTGACACACAGCGACTCTTGGCGCTGCACAGGCATTCCAGCGCTCCTACGAACTGGACCAGGCCATCATCTCGCGCACGCCGCTGCCGACGTCTCTCAAGGCGCTCTTCGACAAGTGCGAGGCGCCTCCAGGTCTCAACAGCCTCACCAGGTTCAGGCCAGACGGCGTGCAGGCCCTGACCATGTACACGGACCCCAAGTTCTTCCGCCGCCTGTGGATCGAAAAGATGATGAAGGACGCAAAGGCGCAGATGGAGAAGCGCAAGCGCAAGAAGGTGAGAACAACACAACAACACACAAGTTCAAAGACAGTACCACACCCACCAATGCTTTTGAAACATGCGCCTGCACACAGGGCTAAGCGCTTCCTCACACTCTTGATCCGCCACCGACGCATGCTTTGCTCTCCCTATTATGACATCGCAGAAGCGTCACAAGCGCAGCGAAACGCGCGCGTCCCACCGCGAAGTGGCCAAGGTGCAGAAGAAGAAGTACAACGCAATGGGGGCAGAGTTCCAGCAGCAGCAACAGCAGCAGCCACAGTACCGCGGCAAGACGCGCACGGCCACAACATCGTCCCGCCGGCCAACCAAGCCATCCAGCGCGCCGCCACCGCCACCCCAAAAGCCAGCCAATGCCCCGCCTCCACCGCCAAGCAAGCCAGCCAACGCCCCTCCACCCCCTCCACCAGGCACCGCCAAGCCAACGTCCGCACCACCACCACCGCCTCCATCTGCAAAGCCAAACGCAAACGCAAGTGCACTTGTCCCGAGCATGCCTGCAATGCCGCCACCGCCACCACCAGCAACCGATCACGAGCAGGACGAGGAGTCTGCGACGTCCCCCGCACAGACACCACCATCTCCCCCGCCCGCGGTGTCTGGGCTGCCGCCACCGCCGCCGCCACCAGCAACAGCAGCAGCAACAGCAACAAACGGCAGCACGGAGGACGATGGACCAGCCCATGCTGCACTTGCTCAACTGGCGCAGTTGATTGCACCAAAGGCAGAGCGGCCAGACGCACCACCAGCACAGATGCCACCGCCACCGCCCCCACCAGCAGCCTCCATTCCGAATGGAGACGCAGGCGTGCCAGACATGCCACCGCCACCTCCGCCACCGGTACACCCAAGCGCCACAGATGCGGCACCATCCTCAGCGCCACCACCACCGCCACCGCCTATGCCGGCCAACGCTGGGGCCCCGCCGCCCCCGCCCCCGCCAATGCCATCAGCGCCGCTCACAGAGGACGCGGGGGTTGCGGGCGGAAACGGGCTGCTCGACGCAATCAAGAACAAGCGCCTGCGCAAGGTGGAAAAGGAGGAGAAGGACCGCACGCAATCGTTCAACATGGGCACGGATGTTGCTGCAATCCTGGCAAGGCGCATGGCCTTGGAGATGTCGGACACGGAGTCCGAGACCGGCAGCGAGTGGTCGGATGACGAGGACTGGAGCGACTGAGGCCTTGAGTTGTTCCGTCTGTCTTGATGTGTTTGTGTGTGTTTGTTTGTTTGTGTGTGTGTGTGAGTGAGTGTGTGCTCGTTGGCGTGTTTACATGTCTACATGTGTGCTACAAGTTGCTGTGTACGACATGCAAACGATTCAATCCGTGGTTTTGTGCTTGTGCTTGTGCGTGCGTGTGTGTGTTCCTGAACAATTGTGTCTTTCAGTGATTGTGCGCTTCCGTTTGCACATCCATTTTTCCTCGTCCTCCTCAAGCACCACCGCCGCTGCTGTTCCTCATGTCAATCGAGCGGATATTGCATTACACCGATTTCATGGTCCACAGATACACATGAATACAGGCGACTGAGAGACTGGAGAGGGAGAGAGAGAGAGACTCGACAGAGACTGACACAGCGCTGAGAGAGGTCAACACACAAGGC